TTGTAGATACAAAGACAGATTCACCATCGAATTGGATCATTACTACCTTTCGAAGATACACAGAATAAATTTTTACAAATATATTTCATGGGCAACATGGAAGAAAAACTTGATCGACGCCTAGGGATCAATGCAGGAATGAAGCGAGCAATTCTTCAAGACTTGCAGTGTCTGCTTCATGAACATCATGCGTTGGTCAGGTTGTTTAAGAGTTGTCATTGAACATTTAAAATAATCCAGATGCAGTGTGCAACATAAAAACAATCGTCTATGGGCATAGTGCCCATATTTTGGATGAATGCACTATAGGTCGTAAAATTGGAATGGGGAATTGGATTGGTCATTTAGGGATATAAGAAACAATGATAAACTACGGCCCTTTACGGCCCTTTGTTACTCCTTTTAAGGTGTTCACGGTTAACGGACGCTGATGAATTCAATGCTTGCTTAAAATCATCGCGACTGTGGCGTAATGTTGAACAAGAACTGACCAAGAATAAGCGCGATCAAATGCGTCAGGATCCACCCTTTCTCTAAACAACTGTTAGATATTGGCGAGGGGAATTTTGTGGTACATAAAAATACTGAATCTACTTGAAATACTGAAAAATATTTATTAACCAAAATAAATGAAGAAAAAACAGCTAGCCCTTATAGAAAACAAAAAAGGGCAAAACAACGTTTGCCGGGGTTGCTAGTTATATTATATATATTATATATTATATTATATTATATTATATAGTATATATTATATTATATATATATATATTCTTGATCAGCATCAACACCCTAGTCGATCAGCCATGTCTGCATGGCTGTAAGATATTAATGAAGCAAAATTATGCCTCTACGAGGCATACAAAATGTCGTAGAACACAACTACTAAATTATGCCTCTACGAATTACCCTCTATGGTACTCAACGATTACCGGGTAAAAAAAGTTCCTAAGTTCTATCTTTAAAAATATCAATATTGGGTTATTTAAGTTATATGGCAGCTATAGGATATAGTCGGTCATTCCTTATGAACTTTAGTATGTAAAATTTAAAAAAAGAAATCAAGGACGCTTGAAACATCAAAAAACCGTCCCAACACTCCCAACCAAACTCCTCCATATAAATCATGAGCGAATGATTCTTACAACAACCCCCCACCAATCAAAACCAACATCAATGGACATAGATCAGACCCCCTAAAGTATATATATATATATACTTTATATAAATCATATAAATATACCTTGTAAAAACAATTTTACAGGAAAAATACCACTTGTTCAAAGGAAAAGTTGAAGAACAAGACTATTTTCAATCAACAAAAGAAAATGAAAACAAAAAAGGAAATCTAACTTCGGGCGGAACCGAAGTTGATATACCCTTTGGAACCGGATATGTAACGGAAACATCGGATATAGTTGGCCGATCCTTATGAGAATATCATAATAAAACCAATTAATTACAATAAGAAATCTTTAAAACAGTCCAAAGCTTCTATCTTCAAAAATACCAAAGTTGGCATATTTACTAACTAAAAAAGAATAACCCGTCAATAAAATATGTTAATTAACTGTATAGCTTATGGTGAAAAAGGACTCCAAGACGACTTAGGACGTTATTCCCAAGTGAGTACGAGAAATTGGGCTCACTGCGATTAAACGTCGAACGCCACAAAAATACTTTGTTGAGGCCTAAATGCAAGTGTTTATAAGGTTATTAATAATGATCTGAGAATGAAAAACATAACTTGACATCGGCGGCATGTATAAATGAAGTACCATAGATTACTACCAACTTAAGCAACTTACTTAAAACCAAAAGAAGAGAACCTAAGTTACTACCTCGTGGGACTTCAGATGTAAGGTTTATAATCTCTAGCGTAAGTGATGAGTTTAAACAAAAAACGCTGCGTGCGGTTCGATAGATAGGAAGTCATCTTCTGTACGATTTTTGGAGAAAACCCCATAATATGCAGCTTAAGTAGCTAAAAATGTTTTACTATGTTACTATGTTTTACAGAATCGAATGCTTCGCTAAAACAGTGTAAACCACATCAATTTGCAAGCGGCTGTGAAAAACCCCTGTGTATTATCGAATTGAATTAAAGAAGGTTTGTTGCAGTAGAACGATGCTTGTAATGCCGGGAGGTGGAAATTACGCTTTTGCAAAAATGTTAAATTTGCGAAATAATAAGTTTATCCAGCACTTTGGGAATGGCAGAGCCCAGCCCAGCTGCCCAGCTGTGAGGTAGTCACCAGATATTGTTACATTGCATTGGGTACACCCTATTGTAAAGGTACGACTGCAGTAGATTTTGGGTTTATGTAGAAAAATGCGTTTTAAATTTGAGATAGGCTTGAGATATGTCGAAAAATATAACACCACCAAGCACAGAAAAATTGGCTAGTCTAGATAGTGTTCTAAGCTTTAAAGTATAGTAATATGTGAATTAGAAATCATTTTTCGAACAAGATAAAAACGATAGAAGGCTTATTAGTGTGTACAGTGACAGAATTGTGTGTTATTTTTTGACCTTAGATATCATTAGAATAATAGATTTCTTTCAACTCTTTGGGAAGTAACCATAATTAATAATCCCATAGACGACTTCAATAGCGCTGTTTGGGCTAATAACATCTTTGGGGTCAATAGGTTACCGTCGAACGCGGTGTTTTGGTTTTAGCTCCCTGATGATTTTTTCGATTTTGTTCGTCCGAAACGAAGTTGTTGTTGGCGAAGGAGTAGTTTTTAGGTAAATTGGTGGCTGGAGAAATGCATTTGAGACAGAATTTGGCTGGAAGACACTTTAAAGATGTGTAGCGATATGTTTCAGCTCTGTCTTTGACGCTGCTAGCCCAGCATCTCAAATCGGGGTGGTCGTTTCAATTGGATTTTTAAATCCCGATTTGATGTCCGATTCCTTATTAATTTATGGGGCGAGTTCTGTGTGGGAGCTCACTTACTTTTTTTTAATTAAGCACTTACCATATAACATATATGTGTAACTATTTATTTCATACAACGAAAATGGAAGCCAAAATTTCTTGCGACAAGCCCTTGCAGCCACAAAAAGCATTCACCTCTCTTTCTCACGATCATTTTGGCCCTCAAATTCAAATTATAAGTATGCGCGTTCACACATTTAGATATACGGGTGCGATTTTTTTTATATCCAGCCAGGTTTCCGTTACTTGATTGAGTTTTTGCATAGTTTTTGCTGTGTACTCGCTTCGTAAATTTTGGTAACGCGTTGCTGTCGCTTGTCGCTCCTCTTAAGCTCTTTTTACCTCTTATAGAGAGCTCTTAGCTCTCATAGAGACCACGTATGGGTATTTTTTTTTAAGATTAAAAGCAGCCCAAAGTGTGCAGTATGATCTAGTGCGTTCATACTTTTGACAGTTAGTGCGGGTTCGGTACCCTCATAGTTGATAGTAGTAATGTCAGTTTCGATTTTCTTTATAATTTTTCTGAGCCTTATCCAGATATTTTGACGCGGCTCCTTTGACAAGCGGAACAACATAAAAATTCCGTTCCCGGGAAGGGCATCAATCTGTTTGACGAGGGTGTTCGAGCTGTTTTCTCTGACATATATTGTATATCAAACGATTTTGTAGTGGATTTTTCTGGTCGGTTTTCCTCGACTTCTTGCAGGGTATTTTTGATTCATAGTCGATCTTGTGAACGCGGGTTTTTTTTTACCCGCCGGACTTATCTGCAGACTAAGTAAGCGACTTATTTTAACTTCATTCCAGTCAGTTTTACGGAATCGCCTTGGCTCTTGAAGTTGATATTTTTATACCCTTGCAGAGGGTATTATAATTTTGGTCAAAAGTGTTCAAGATCTCTTGCTTGTCTCTCAGTTTTAAAGCTGTCGACTTGAAACTTTGCACACTTTGCGATATTGTCGTCTGGGTGTTGGTTAGGTGATTCATTTAGCAGCTTATGGCCGCTAAACTGAAATTCATGCGTGCAGAGCTGGTCATTGCGGATATTTCCACGGCACACTTTATTAAATTTGTTTAAATATATTGTTTAAATATATTTTTTGTATATATTTATATCAGAGGTCGGCACGGCCCTATCTCGGAGGCATAGGAATTTTCTCTGCCCGAGCTCTGCCACACACACACACAGTATACATGTGTGAAACGTCATGCTCACAGCCTACCTTCTGCTATTCGTTACTAACACTAATGCGGTAAAATCATATCAATGTATTGGGGTGCCGACCACTGATTTATATACAATTTGTTTAAAATACGGTAACATTTTCCTAAGGTGACATTATATCGGTGCTTACCAGAACATCGGACTTATCAAATGTATCAATTGGGCTGTTAAGTTTTTGAAAGTAAGTCTTACGGAACCAGCGAATCTTATTTGCAACGGAGCGAGACTTTTGATTAACACCAGGAATGGTATCGATTGTAACCTCAAGATTAGTGTAATATGGATCCTCTGGGGTTGAAAGGGGCAAAGCTCTGGCATATGTGGTTTCATCAGGATGAAATTAGTCTAGAAAACATGAGTCTGGAAGCCGACCTAGAGACATGTCAAATAATCCCTTCGTGTAATCATAATGGGTGGAAAGCGATTACAAAAAATATGAGTTTCCAATATTTGACACAGAAAATTCAAACAAATTAAGTAGGTGGTTCGGCTAATTTAGAAATTTCCGGTATTATACCCCGTCAATAGGTTTTTTTATTCGTTAAACTGTATGTGTCAACTTAGATTGCTTAATTAAGTTTATTTATCAATGTGTCTATTTATTTAAACCTATTTAAAGCGTATCCAATAAGAGCTCAATATGTCGTAAACTTTAAACAAGTTGCTCTCATAAATGTTAAATGTTTTGCTGTTGGTCTTAAAAAATTCTTCTCAGCGCTAAAAGTATTGCAACATATTTCGAATGCACATAAAAAGTCCATCATTGAAAATGGAAAACGTATACAGAAAAGTGACTCAAAATAACATTATTTATATATAAAATTTTTGCTTACAGATCAAAAACAAGGTAGTGATAGTTCTCTTCTTGAATACTGTCATGCAAACGCACTGAAAGAAATATATGCATATTATTCAAATAAATTTCGGTAAATAAGTTTTTTTCACGTAATTTAAAAAAAATACTATACCGATGTTGGGATGGTGTAATTTTCTGCATATCCTTGCCTCCCGTTCTAGTTTTTGGAAGTCTAAAAAAAATAAATATAATTGTATGATTATAGGATAATTTTTAAATATGTACATAAATCATACCTCTTGCTGTCAATTTTTTAGTATTTATAATTTTTGCTGCAAACTCAAATCCGGTTGATTTTTGGACACATCTTTTAACAATAGAGAATGCCCCTCTAAAAATAAACCGTTTCAAGAATAATTTTTAAAATTTTTTTAAAAGCAACAAAAATTTATTTTGAAACTTACTTTCCCAGCTCTTCTTTAATGTCATAATTGTCGGAGAAACGCGTACAGGCTGCGGGTGCAGCCATCGCGATGGCACACTTAAGAAAATCTATTGCGACTGCAAATTGTGATCAATCGGCTATGAACACTTCTTAGTACTTATATCCTTATTTACAGTTGAAATTTTACTTGCTCTCAGATTTATGCGGATGTGTGTACATCAAGTCTGATAACTAAAAATGATGGCAATAATTATTTTTTTTATTCCAACTAATTTTATTTATTAATTTTATTAATTTTTTTTACTCAAAAGGTGAATTTTGTATAAACATGTAAAGCATAAGCAATTATATTTTGCATACTATATTACTCTATCTTCTTTCTTTACATATCTATTAATGTATTGTACATATTAATGAAGGAAGGTTTGTAAGTTTGTTCTAGCGTGTATTGGAATAACGAGTGTTCATCCTAGTACTCAGATCGACAAAAACTGTTTTCCAGCTATAAGAGTGAGCGAGAGGCAAATACCTGAAAAACAGTTTTTGACAGGGTCTTTGTACCACCCCGTAGTCAGATCGAAACAAAATTCCAGAAATTTGCATGGGGGTGCCAACCAACACCAATAACCGTTTTATAAATATAAACGCTATAAGGTTATAAAATATCGAAAAATATCCATATTTTGATTTATCATCAACAACCGCTGCCGGCACACTGAAACTTACGAAAATATCATAATATAATTAATTTATTACAATAAAAGATCTAAAAAAAAGTCCCAAGCTTCTATCTTCCAAAATACCAAAATTGGTATTTCTACCAAATACCATTTCCGATTGTTCAGTTACATATATGGCGGCTATAAGATACGATCGTTATGAAGTTTCGTAGTTCGGATCAACTGACATAATATAAAATATGTACGAAGTTCCAACTTTCTATCTTAAGAAACACGGAAGTTGAGTCAATTCATTAGGATATAGTCGGCCGATCCTTATGAAATTTGGCATGTCGTATTGTTTTGCCAAAAAAAAAGCACTCATGAATCCTCTTTAACTCAAAAAACAACAAAGTTACAGCATTTCCGATCAATCAGTTATATGGCAGCTATAGAGTATAGTCGGTCAATCTCGGCCGTTCCGACTTATATACTGCGTGCAAAGAAAATAAGGTTAGGTTTGTAAGACGTTCTCATAATTCAAACATAATGAGTTTTACAACCATAGAAATAAAACAAGAAAGGAAAGCTAATTTCGGGCGGAGCCGAAGTTGATATACCCTTTCAGTTAAAACCGGAAACATCGGATATAGTTGCTCGATGCTTATAAGAATATCATAATATAACCAATTTATTACAATAAAGCTACAAAAAAGTCCCAAGCTTCGACTTGAAACTTTGAATAAACACTTCTTTCCTTTGCACGCAGTATATAAGTCCGAACGACCAGGATCGCTCGCCTATATCTTATAGCTGCCGTATAACTCGACCGACTATATCCTAAAGCTGCCACATAACTGATTGATCAGAAATGCCATAACTTTGGTGAGAGTTTCTTAAAGGTGGAGTTGGGATTTTTTATGGATTCTATATTTGACAAAACAATACAGCCCACCAAACTTCATAAGGATCAGCATCGGCCGTCTATATCCTTTAGACTTTTTTACATTTTTTTAATCTTACATTTTTTTTTTAATTTTAAATCTATTAAATTGGTTTTATAATGAAATTCTCACAAAGATTTATATGCGATCATAACGTCCCTCTGTTTCTCATAAGCGAACGGTCGTGTTTTTTTTGTGCGCACTGCGTTTATGATAAATATTGGTAAACCGGTGTTTACTTACTTGTGAATTGAATATATTGAGAATCTTAAGAATCTTAAGCTTAAACCGTATCGCTTCGCGAGCGCTGTGGTATATTTGGAGTCGAATTAATAATTTGTCTAATTTCAATTCCAAGCATAGCTCAGCTCTGCTTCTTCCGCGTCCTATCTCTATTTCTGCATTTTTCTTTTGCACTCTCAAGGTATAGTGTGGTTCAAGGTATAGTGTTTTTCAACTTTTTATATATTAATTTTGTTTTATTTATTATAAAATATGGAATTTAAACTTGTCTGCGCTTTGAAGTCTTGTAACAAGACAATTTCCTCATCCCAGCCTACCATCCATTGCTGGCTATGTGAAAACGTCGTACACGCCAAGTGTTTCAGTTTCGGATGCCATTTCGTTGATGAGACAGACCAAGAATGGATTTAAAGAGTTGATCACTGGTTTTCGTAAATTCAATGACCAACTCTGTGTGTTTGACACTCAGTTAAGCAGCCTTCAGCTACTAACTGAGTCTCCTAAGCGTAAGAAATCCGCTGTTTGTGATCCGCCTCAGCCTACTCTTCGGCCACCCCAAGGGCTAGAACTGAAAAAAATTCGCCATCTGAATTTCTCGAGGAAAATAAGCAATTGTCTGATATGTCCTCTGTGGTATCCCTTCCGTCAGAGTCACCCAAAAGGGTATTCCAAAGTCCGGACCACCGGCACCGACTGATGCTGCAGTTCTCGTACCTGCGACACCAAAACCCTTACAGGTGATTCCTAGATCGAAACATATAGTTGTTTCTCGGCTTGCCCCTGATACTTCAGAGATTGATATCTCGGCGCATATCAAAGCCAAAACAAAAGCCGATATAAAGGTGGAGAACATAACTAAATTTAAATATAATTATATACGGCGCACGTCTTCTTTCAAGATTCGTGTGCCCGCGCTGATGTTCAAGACGATTTGTTCTTCCAGTTTTTGGCCAGAGAATATTTTCTTCCAAGAACATCAGCCTATTTCCGTAAAGAAAAAAGTTATAAAACCAGTGGGAATGAGACTTCCCCATATCGGAACCACTGACCAACCTTTCACCTCTTCCTTGTCTACTAACCCAAAAAACTAGTATCGTCACATAACACTTACCTATCAGAACACTAGGGGGCTCCGTAGCAAACTCCCTAAACTATATTCTGATAGTTCTTCCTTTGCATCCCATATTATAGCCTTTACAGAAACTTGGTTAAAGCCGGAGATCTTTAGCTCCGAAGTTTTTTCAAGTAAGTACACCACTTTTAGACGGGATCGACCTCAGCGAAGGGGGGGTGGAGTCCTCATTTCGGTAGACTCTACTCTTGCTTCTGAAGAGGTGAAATCACAACAGCTTGGTCACATTGAATTTATGTGAATTAAAATCACTCTGTCCGTGAATTTTTTATACATTACATCAGAGGTGCTCAACGCCTATATACTGAGTGCACTTTTGTTTTTGTAGATGCTCTGTGCTTGTGGGTAGTGCGCCCATAAGCACCGTGTATATGGGCTTCGATTTGCATGCGAAACAAAAACAATTTTGCTTGTTTCTCCATTACATCACTATCCGTCGTCACGCTTCACTGAACACAATGTATTTTGTTTTTGTTTTTTCCTCGAGCACATGCACTGGAACTTATTCTTCTGTCTGTGTTGGCTTTTGATTTATTTCGTGGTGGACCATCGTAAGTGTTATGTTATATTTTTTGTGAAAGGGTTTTTTGAACCTTAAAATTAATAAAAAATAATGAAAGAAATCGACTAAATAATAATAATCTGGAAAAATAAGCTCAATTGAATTTATTAACCACTAAAATTAATAAAAATATTGAATCTTTTTTAAACCAAATGTAGAAAAAAAAAACCAAAAATAAATATTTTAAACTGTTTTTTTTTTCTCTCAGTGCACAGCTGCGCCCCAACACAAAAGCGCCGCTACATATATACACGTTTTCTTGTGTCTGTGTTAGTAAAAGCTCTGCACACAAGACGAATTTGAGCACCCCTGCATTACATGTTCGTATATACCGCCTTCGTCCGAACCGCCCACATATTGGCAGCATTTGTCCGCAGTTCGGTACGTTTTTAATCTTATGACTGATCGTGACCAGCTCGTCACGGTTGGCGACTTTAATATACTGCAATTAAAGTGGTCTAACATCGAGAACTCACCATCTTTGTCACTTATCACTCACCATGACTTCACCGCGGGCATGTTTGACATGTCCCTAGGTCAAATTAACCATGTTAGAAATTCGCTAGGTCGGCTTTTAGACTTATGCTTTGTATCTGATCCTGATGATACTGCTCTCTCCAGAGCTTTCCCCCTTTCAACCCCAGAGGATCCATATCACCCCACTCTGGAGGTCTCTATCGAAACTATTCCTGGTATCGATCAGATGTCTCCATGCGTGGCAAATAAGATTCGCTGCTTCCGTAAAGCTGATTTTCAGAAACTTAATAGCCTTATCGATACACAAGATTGGTCCGATATTCTGGCATGCACTGATCTATTCGCAGAATTTTTTCAAACAACTTATTCTCCGCCTAAATTGACAGATTAGCAAATCTTATTTTCTGTCCGTTTTTTTCTGAGAACAACTTATTATCTGGTCTTTTAAAGGTAAAACCCATTTATTCCCAAGGCTCCGACGGAGTACCAGGCTGTGTGTTAAAATACTGCGCCAGGGCTCTTTGCAAACCTCTTCTAAAAATTTTTTTTGTTTTTATTAACCGTAGTGGGGGTTGAACTTGAGGTATCCACGTTCAACCATGCGACACTTTAACATGACACTGGTGTTTACTATCGGGTCCCATTTCGTTTTTAACGTTTCGTTTCGTTTGTGCAAAGTTTCAAGTCGAAAGCTTTAAAACTGAGAGACGAACTAGCTCAAATCAACGTAGGAGGTGATCCTGATCATGAGCATATATACTTTATAGGGTCGGAGATGTCACTTTCACTTCGTTGCACACCATTGACCAAAATTATAAGAAAGAAAACCAAACTTCGGGCGAAAGTTAATATATCCCTGCAGTTAAGATCGGATATTAATCGCAAATATCGTGTGTAGTTATGATCGCTTTGATTATTTTATAATTATTGTTGGTTATGATTATGATTGATTTATTGATTATGGTACTGATTATGATTATTTTTTTTTTTTAAATACAATAAAAGTCCCAAGCTTTTATCTTAAAAAATATTAAATTTGTTACTTTTGCCAAATACTTTTTGTCAGTTTGAATAATATCGACCGTTTTACGTAAATTTTTTACTCTGTTTATCTCGAAAATTAATACGTTTTTCGAGAAACTTTTTTCCAAAAAATGTTTGCTTCAATAATACTGTAATTGATATTAAAATACTTAATAAATCCTTTACTTTGTGAGTTATGGGTAAAATGGTTATGAGTGTTTTTTGAAAGTTAATCTGAATTTTAACTTGGAACTTAATCAGTATTAAAAATTTAATTAAAAAAAACAAAAGTTTTTAGTCCTTAAAACCTGTAGGAGGGGATTAAGGCCTGACTTAAAAGCAGTGATGAGGAAACTTTCATTCATAGCACGCGTGAATAGGGTCGGTAATTCCGCCGCAGAGCTGCGCGCACACTGACAGTGTGAGCATTCTCAGACTCTTCTCTTTATTTAGAAGCTCTCTTATTTGCTCATATTTTGCCTTACTTGACAGCCCAAACTTAAAAATAAATGTTTTTACAGAGATTTTTTTTTCTTAAAAAAAAAACAATTTTTTCTTAAATTGCGTTGCAACAAGTTTTCCCCATATTATTGGAGATTATTCAATAATTATTATTATTTTATAGATTATTTTTAGATTATTTTATAGATTATTATATTATAGATCAGAGGTCGGCACGGCCCTATCTCGGGGGCATAGGAAATTTCTCTGCCCAAGCTCTGCCACACACACACAGTATAAATGTGTGAAACGTCATGCTCAAAGCCTACTTTCTGCTATACGTTACTAACACTAATGCGGTAAAATCATATCAATGTATTGGGCTGCCGACCTCTGTTATAGATTATTCAATAAGGATTATTATTCCCTGTCAAAAGGTATTATAATTTTGGTCAGAAGTGTGAAAAGCAGTGAAGGAGACATCTCCGACCCAATAAAATATATATATTCTTGATCAGGATCACCTCCTGAGTTGATATGAGCATGTCCGTCTGTCCGTCTGTCTGTTTCTACGCAAACTAGTCTCTCAGTTTTAAAGCTATCGACTTGAAACTTTGCACACACCCTTCTTTTTTTTGCACGCAGTATAGAAGTCGGAACGGCCGGGATCTGCCGACTGTATCCTATAGCTGCCATATAACTGAACGATCGGAAATGACCCAACTTTTGTGTTTTTGAAGCTGGAACTTGGTACAGATTTCAGTTTTGGTCAGTTAATCCGACCTACCAAATTTCAAAACGATCGGTCGACTATATCTTATAGCTGCCATATAACTGAACGATCGGAAATGGTATTTGGTAGAAAAATCTATTTTCGTATTTTTGAAGATAGGAGCTTGGTACTTTTTTCAGATTTTTATTTTAATTAATTGGTTTTATTATGATGTAATCATAAGGATCGGCCAACTATATCCGATTTTTGCGATATATATCCGGTTTAAATTGCAAGGGTATATCAACTTCGGCTCCGCCCGAAGTTGGTTTTTCTTTCTTGTTTTAAGATTTTTTATTGTAATTAATTGTATATATTAATTATGATATTCTCATAAGCAGGGACTGCAAATAAGACTTATGAGTTCAAAAAAATTGAACGACAAAAAAGCCTTTGTGGGGAGTGGGAAAAGGACACATATACAATTTTTTAACGGGTGAATCCAGAAAAACAATAAACTTTTATTTTAATTTCTATTGCTAAAATTGAAATATAACTCTTATTTTCAATTTTTATAATAATAATTAAGAATAAGAATTATTTTTCAATTTTTATAAAAAGAATAAAAAAAATTGAAAATAAGTGTTACGATTCAATTTTTATTATAAAAATTAAAAATAAGTGTTACGATTCAATTTTTATTATAAAAATTGAATGCGAATAACTTCTGAACCGAGTGGACTATTAAAAAACCGCTTACATTTTTATGATCTGTGGCGCAGTACCTTTCAAATTATGTATCCTTATGTATCCGAATGTCCTTAAAGGACATAATGTAAGCGGTTTTTTAATAGTCCACTCGGTTCAGAAGTTATTCGCATTCAATTTTTATTTTCAATTTTTATAATAAAAATTGAATCGTAACACTTATTTTCAATTTTTTTAATAAAAATTGAATCATAATTTTTATTTTTTTTTTTTTTTTATTGAAAAATAATTCTTATTCTTAATTATTATTATAAAAATTGAAAATAAGAGTTATATTTCAATTTTTTGTCATAAAAATCAACAAATAATTTTTATTTTATAATTTTTTAAATTATAAATAATAATTAATTATAATTATAAATAATATTTTTATAAATTTAAAAATTATAACAATTACGGTCCCTGCTCATAAGGATCAGTCAACTATATTCGATATATACGGTCTCCAATTAATTATTATAATAATTACAATAATAATTATTATCCATTATAATGGGTCGAAATAAGCCTTCATGCTCTCGCTCTCGGAATCGGTGACATCTGAGGTGGTCTTGGAAACGGATGTTTCAATCTTGCATCATTGGCAGGGATAAATGCAATGTTCGAAGACAGCTGATGTAAAACGAAGCCGTTATATGTGAGGTGATGGTACTTTGGTGGAAGCTTTTTACTATCAAGTTTATTATTGGCATCCTAGTATAATCGCGTCATCAGTTACATGACTTCAATCTGCCTCCATTGTCATTTAGGTATGCGTTTAATCTGTCCAATCTGCTTCACTTCAGAACCGCCAGTCCCGCAGATACAATTTTTAGCTATTCGCCGAAGGCGATGGCTTGTGATTGCTTTTAGCATCTTTGTCTTGCTTACATGAGCTGTTGTCTTGCCCGGCACATTTTGCTTGTAGCCGATCGATGTACAGAAATATCAGTGCCACGTCTCTGTAAAAGCGACGCCTTTACGCAAACGGTTTTTCGGGACTTGCTCTTAAAAGGATTTTTAAATTTTTAATGTTTTTTAATAAATTAAAATTTTAAGCTTTAAATAAGTTAAATTTTTTAGCTTTTGAAAAAAAATAGATCTTTAATTTATTTCAAAAAAAGGATAAAATTTTTACGAAAGAAACTGAAATTTTTGAATTTTTGTCGTATTTTTCAGACTTTGACGCCATTTTTTCGGCACAACTTCCGACAATTGGTTACATTTTTGACACATATCAATATTGTCTCGTTATATCTGAATAAAACGAGACCAATTTCATTAGAAAATTATGAAAATAGTTGAATTTATAACGATTTCCCAAAACAAGTCAGTGCAATTTTACTAGCTCTCGGGAGTAAGTGTGTAAAAGAAAGAAATAAGCGAAATGGAAGGGCGCACTATTACTCGGGAACGGAGATTGGACTGACTTGTTTTGGGAGACGTCGCGCTTCAGCCTTAAAAATATTTAAATAAACGTGAACACATTATTCTCCACACGGACTTCACTTGGCAGGTGCTCTTTAATATTTTCACTGCTAGTTTATTTTTCGGCTGAGTACAGATTACGTGGTACAAACCCTTAAGGTTAAAATGTTTTTTGATATCGTCATGAAGCTATCGCCAATCCGAGTCGCAGTGGTGTATTAAAATCGATCCCCACATGCTCCGCCTAGCATGCACTTCGATGCTATTGGTTCGTTCCATTTCCCTTCGCGGATCTTGCGAGGGTCTGCTAGTTTCCAATTATTGTTCATACATAGTAATGTCGGCTGGGCAGAATAGGTATATAACTGCAAGTCTCTCTATGATCTGCTGTATAAATGCTAGATTCTGGATTAGAGGCGGAGAACTATCGATAGTAGCCACCATCGATATTTAACGACTATAACTTTTGAACCATCGTTGATATTATCGCCCGACATATAAAAAAATTTTATTTTTAGCTATACCAAATATTTTTTGTTTAACCAATATTCTTCTTGAGCCGGGTTCGCCTATCTAAAATAATTTGGCCCGCCTTACTGAGTGTTCCTTTCAATTCAAATGCAAAGCTGCTTGTCAACGCTTGAAGCACGAAGTGTGGGAGGTACTCGACGTTTACCTAAAATGCAACACATCACCGATCGAAATACTCATGCACCATATACATGCACCATACCTTATTTTTTAAAAACGATCGATAGTGCCATCAATTGTTTTCAACATCTATTGGACGTCTTTTAAACGCGACGCTTTTTCCTCTGCCCTTATCCGCAGGCGTGGAGATAATCCACAGGTTTACGAAGTTTTTTTTAGAAGTCTTTAGGTCGAGAAGGCTGCGGCTCCCATTATTCTTTAAGCGAACATCAAACTACTTTTCTGCTTTTTTATTTTAATCCCATTTTAAAACCAAGAGGTCGGGCGCTAAGCAACTTCGACGCTAAATGCCTGATTTCGGTAGGTGACCGCCATGCAGCCGCCGAAAAAAAATATGGCCGGTACTAAGGTTTTGACCTTAAGGAACGCCCGTGTCGTCACTCAGTTCCGCCGCTTTTTTTATGTCTCTTTTCGGATCGCCGGCTCCCGTGAAATCGATGGGCCGACATCTGCCGTCATGCGCTAGGGTTGTCTCGCGGTATCTCAAGCATATCTTTCGCTCTGCAGTACCAAACCTTTCGCTCTTGGAAGGACCTTAGTGGCATCTAATTTTGCTTTAATGTGAAAATTTTAAAATTATCGCATTAGTTGACGGTCTGCATCAGCTTCTGTCTTGCGATGTTTGTCCTTACATTGGCTATATAATTATTCTTTTTATGGTTATTAATTTTGTAATAATCATACTAACCATGGAAAATGTAATTGCTTAGAGATATTTTTACGAAAATATACAAGTTTTACACTTTGTCATTGCTTTTGAATTTATTAATGTTATTATACCCTTGCAGAGGGTATTATAATTTTGTCCAAAAGTTTGCAACGCAGTGAAGGAGACATCTCCGACCCTATAAAGTATATATATTCTTGATCAGGATCACCTCCTGAGTTGATATGAGCATGTCCGTCTGTCCGTCTGTCCGTCTGTCCGTCTGTCTGTTTCTACGCAAACTAGTCTCTCAGTTTTAAAGCTATCGACTTGAAACTTTGCACAAACCATTCTTTTCTTTGCACGCAGTATATAAGTCGGAACGGCCGGGATCGGCCGACTATATCCCATAGCTGCCATATAACTGATTGATCGGAAATGGTATAACTTCGGTGTTTTAAGAGTTAGAGATTTCAAAAATTTGACACGAGAAATATTTTTGGCAAAATTTTTCGACGTGCCAACTTTTATAAGGGTTGGCCGACTATATCCTATAGCTGCCATATAACTGAACGATCGGAAATGACCCAACTTTTGTGTTTTTGAAGATAGAAAGCTGGTACTTGGTACAGATTATATTTTTGGTCACTTAATCCGACCTACCAAATTTAATAACGACCGGCTGACTATATCTTATAGCTGCCATATAACAGAACGATCGGAAATGGTTTTTGGTAGAAATACCAACTTTGGTATTTCGACGTGCCAACTTTTATAAGGATTGGCCGACTATATCCTATAGCTGCCATATAACTGAACGATCGGAAATGACCCAACTTTTGTGTTTTTGAAGATAGAAAGCTGGTACTTGGTACAGATTATATTTTTGGTCACTTAATCCGACCTACCAAATTTAATAACGACCGGCTGACTATATCTTATAGCTGCCATATAACTGAACGATCGGAAATGGTTTTTGGTAGAAATACCAACTTTGGTATTTCGACGTGCCAACTTTTATAAGGATTGGCCGACTATATCCTATAGCTGCCATATAACTGAACGATCGGAAATGACCCAACTTTTGTGTTTTTGAAGATAGAAAGCTGGTACTTGGTACAGATTATATTTTTGGTCACTTAATCCGACCTACCAAATTTAATAACGACCGGCTGACTATATCTTACAGCTGCCATATAACTGAACGATCGGAAATGGTTTTTGGTAGAAATACCAACTTTGGTATTGTTAAAGATAGAAGTTTGGGACTTTTTTTATATTTTATTATATAATAAATTGGGATATTATAATATACTCATAAGGATCGGCCAACTATATCCGATGTTTGCGATATATATCCGGTTTTAACAGAAAGGGTATATCAACTTTGGCTCCGCCTGAAGTTAGCTTTCCTTTCTTGTTTTTCTGATGTTTTACGCATTTGTAAAATTATGTAATTCAAAAATACTTACGAAGAATTTTAAAAACTTCGCTGGTAACACTTTAAACAAAAGAAGCGACTAAAACACTCCAAGTCGAAAAATGTATGCCGCTTGAAAAATGACTAAAGGCAATCAAAACGGTTAAAAAAAAAAGGTAAAGGTTCAAAAGAACCAAAACGAAAAAGATTCTATTATACTTTTTAAAGATACTTTTAAAAGAGAATTATACTTTAATTTTCGTTTTTGTTTCTGTTCATAAAACACTATAAAATAAATTAGTCTATGAAAAATAACATTGACTGCACTAGGCCATGAATTAAATGGCGAGTATTGCAATAGTCAATTTCCACTGAGCAGCATCTGAGCACCAGCCGTTAAAATAAAAATCCTTTTAAAAAAAAATGTTTATCCGCCATCCAAATTTGACGTAGTTTAATGTGTAAATTACATTAGCGATAGTTAACTGATGTTTCGTTTTTGCAACTCTGATTAACTGACGTTAAGTGATGTTTCGTTTTTTCGTTTTTTGTTGACAAGGAAGCCTTGAAATGGCAAGGATTAGAATTAAAAAGAATTAAATTCTTCTTACGAGAATTTCATTCAATCCAAATTCCTTAGAATAAAAAATGTAAAAAGCGTAACAAGCTTATATCTTCCAAACTACCAAAGTTGGGTTATTTCCGATCGTTCAGTTATATGGCAGCTATAAGATATACTCTGCCGATTCTTATGAAATTTGTTAGGTCGAATCAGTTGGCAAGATACATACACATATAGACTTTATCAAGTCGGAAATGCGAGACAAATTTGGTGTTTCTTTGGTTTAAAACCCAATGTAAATGCTTGCCAAAGGTAAGTAAATGATTAATTAAGTTGAAATCCTTATGGCAGATTTGTTTTTGTAGAACAAAAAAAAATTTGGAGGAAAATTTCATGGCAAGAATTGAAAATAAACGCTTTTACTCGTCAAAAAGGTTTTTAATCTAAGTTCGAGGCAAAAGAAATTGTTTACAAATAAAAAAATTAGCTTGAAAATAATATAATTTAAACTTGTTTTTTGTACTCTATTTTTAGGTATTTTTGGGCCTGCCGCGTTTTTTATTCTGAGCACGGGCAGAATATCGATAAATTGATATTTTGATATACATAAAATCAATAAGCCCTTTTATTTTTGTTCCATCTTGGCTCAACATGTTGCGTTTTGGGTGTATGAGTGGACGGACAGAGATGAAATAACAAATATCTCTTTCTGGCCCAACTGCACAAAACGCAATATGTCGTGTAAAGCGAGAGATAAATAGGAGACCCTATAAAGCTATCTTGCTCAGACGTAACTGCGCAACACCCAACTTTTTTCATCTGACCGAGTATGTTTAATACAAAGCACGAAGCGAAAACCACGAAAACTTGAAAAAACGAAAAGAAATGTAAAATAAACCATTTTTTCTTTTAATACAGGCAGTTAGAGATACTAAAAAAGTATATTATATTATTCATCTTCCCGAATGTATAAAAATTTTTAGGGGTTGAATGCATTAGCTATAGTAATTATTATATTTAATTATTCTAAAAAAAAAACATAAAAAAGTTAAGTATAAAAAAAAAAGAAGTGCAATGTGAAAACAATTTTTTCGTGAATAGAATTATTGTGTGTAGCAAGTAAATTAGTATTTATTTTGGAACATAAATTGGTACATATTCTTATTTATGAGTAAACAAATATGGAAGTATGTATGTATGTTATACATATGCATGTATACTTACATATGCCAAAAATCATGCGTACTCTTTTGTATATGAGTATATTTAGATACATATGTATGTACATATGTACCTAAGTATATTAATGAATAGACAAAAATTAAAATAAGAAAACCATCCCATGCTAACACTATGTATGTATATATGTATGTACATATGTAAGTAAATACATATTTGAATATATTTCGGAAATTTGACTTTTGTGTAGTCTGCTACACCCGCTGTTTTAATATTTTTAAAAAATTTAATACTAAATAGAAGTGCGACAGGTGTTTCTGAATCGATTTTATTTCCTTTTATGAATGGAATATTAGAAAGTATGTATGAAGATATACATACAAGTGTACATACATATGTATATAAATGTCGGGTGGAGTACTGACACAATCTTGTGTATCCTTTTAATTTCCTTTTCAAGAGCTTTTCTTGATTGAGCTTAACGACAAAACGCCCCGCCTCACTTAACGGGGATGTCACATGGTATTAAGTAAAACTTGTTGCGAATGAGTAATGTTTTTATAACCTTGCCTCTACTATAATTTCATTTCCTATGTTTATGAACATATGTATGTACATATGTATGTTTGCATCATATTTAAATTCACTCAAATATTTTTAAAAAGGTTTAAGTATTAATATTAACTAGAGGGATAGACGCACTCTAGCAAAGTTTCTTGTTAAGCTTCGTGCGAGGCCTGTGTATATGTATGTACATATATGTATATACATATGTATGTATGTACATACATATTAACTTAATTTAAACTACGATTTAACATGATTTCAGCATATTATATGAACTTTATATATTCCAACAACAGCTGTATAAATGTAATTTACACTTAAGCATATATACATGCATTCATGTTCATTTTAAATTTACACATAAAAAAGTTCAAATTCACATGTTTCACTATGGTTTTTATATGCACATATGTATGTATATAAATTATGCTTCATAAGGTGAGGGATGCATATATTTATGGAAAATATGGTTTCCAAAACCTACATGTATATATATAAATTTATATATATATATATATATCTATATATATATAAATCTATCGGTACATATGTATGTTTGTGTTTAGCAAAATAGGAGGCCACTTCGCGAATAGTTACAAAAAATTTAAGAACGTCCACTGGATTGAAAATCGAATTCAATACTGACAGAATATTTTTTGGCGTCGTCTAGTTTAGAGGAGAAGCCGAAAACAAAAGCTTTCAGCTAACATTTTTCTCTCATTTTCGAACTAAAAACTTGTGCGCGAAAGGGCATCTTTTCTGCGCAAGGCGTCTGCGCAATAAAAAATTCTATCTCAGTATCTAAAAATTGTGTGTGCTTTGGAACCAATTGCTTAACGCATACATTTTATTATTCCAAAAATTTTTGTCTCAAAAAAGTTCAAAATAAATTGAAGTTGTATCTACATATGTACATATGTTTAACCTTCATTTATGACTAATTATATTATTTTTTTAATATAATCACTCATATAAGTATAAACATGTATGTACATACATGTACATACATATGTCTCATCGAGTTGTGAACTATTTTACAAAGGCATGCCGACAGACAAAAGCAGTGTTCGACAAACGGATATTCATTAAAAACAAGAAAGGACGGCTATTGTCGAGTTTTCCGACTATATTACACCCGGTACTCATCTCTTTCACCCCACATTAACTAACCTTTAAGAGTGGTGGGAAAATTCTCATTTTCCATAGCATGCATGCATACATATCTGGCCCTATGGCCCATTCTGCTGCAGCACTGCCGGTAAACTATACAGTGTACAGTGTACACTTTCCATAATTGATCTCTCATACGAGTCCAAACTTAAGAGAACATTCTGGTTAGTTGTGCCAAAAAATGTGCAATCTTCAGAAATGTTTTTTTGGACAAGAAAAATACATATGTATGTTTGTGTTGTTAAACAAAATTTAGTGTTGTTTTTTCTGAACATTTTCTCACTTTTTGTCGATAAAAAATCCAATATATGTATAAGCTATCCATGTAATTTGAAAATATTTAAAATATAAAAACGCAAACTACTCGAACATTAAAATTGATTGGGATATGACAGTTGCCAGCTTGAAAAACGTAGTTTTCCAATGAACCGTTCAAATAGTGTTGGGTAAATTCTGCTCTTTTAGGAAAACATGTTCACTTGTTCATTTTTTCCAAAAGAGTCAACTCACTCATATTGCTCACTTGCTAACTGTTCATTGCTCACTTGTTTAAAATTGTTAACAGATTTGGCGGTAATAGAAATGTTGAAGTAAAGAAAGCGCAAAAAAAGTTCAAGCAAAGAAGTTGGCAAAAATGAGTCACATCTTGCTCATTTTTTATTTAAATGCTGCACTTTCTGAATGGGAATTCAAGAATTTTTGAATTTTTTGTTCACTCACTCATAAGCAAACCAACACTATTTCAAAGTTATTCAGCTATTCAGCAGTTATTCAGTAGTTCAGAATGTTCAAATTAATGTATAGACATGCACATAAATATGTAGCATTGAATCAAAAAATCAAGAATACAAAATTTTTAGATTTTTTTGACAAAACTAACCACAATGACCCATTTAGAGAAAAATGGGTTTTAAAAAACAAAACAAAATGTTTATTACTAAAAAAAATGTTTTTAGAAATTTGGAAGCACATGTTTGGTCTAATGAATATACAGATGAGGAAGCGCAGTTTTACAATTGTTTCACAACTAGTGCCCGAAAGGCTTTTATTTTCATAAAAAGTCATTATTTGCCCATTCCAACTTTTTAATTTACGATAAACAAAATAATTATCTAAGGCTTTTCTCTCAGTAAATGGCCTACTCTCTTTGTTCATCGCTGCTTACGCACATAAGCGTTTACATGTGCGCGTTTCACCAATTTTTCACCAATTCGAAATTGGTGATTCGAATTGGTGGGCTATCGCAAAAATTAAGCTGTAGTCGTTAAAAGTTTTGACACATGTTTTATGTTTCTCAGAAGTATGTAGCACAATATGCCACAGCGAAGCGTGGCAGGGTACAGCTAGTAGTTAATATAATAGGTTGTCAGAAAAATCATGCGGTATTTCCGTTAGGTGTTTTTGCAACCGCGTAGTTATAGTTTTATTTTTCACATCGGTTCAAGCTATACCTTTTTGGAAAGTCGTTCTTGAAATATAGCGTCGCAAATATGGAGATTAAAATATAGAGAAAATACGGCATATTTTACATTACTACTACGATAAGGGAAAAAATGCATCTTATGTTGTCAATAAAATTTGTGCAGCTTATAGACCCGATACGGTCTCCCTTTCCACCGCGCAACGATGGTTTTACGTTTTCGATACGTGAAAAATTGCGATAAAATCGCTGAATTGATCGAAAGAGACTGGCATAGAAGCAGCCGTAGCATCGACCAAGAGCCGTTATAAGCCATTTGAGGAAGATTGGGTTGAAAAAGAAGCTCGATATATGGGTGCCACACGACTTGACGCAAAAAAACATTTTTGACCGTGCGACGCATGCGAATCATTGCTGAATCAGGAAGGTTCTTCTGTATGCTTAGTGGGATTGGCAGGGGATCATCCACTATGAGCTGCTCCTAGGGGAGGGTTGGCCAAACGCTCAATTCGAACCTGTACTGCCAACAACTGGACTGCTTGAATGCAGCACTCATGTAAAAGAGGCTATCTTTGGCTAGAAGAATAGAGGCTATTCTTCCATCAGAACAGCGCCAGACCACAAACCTTTGGTGACGCGCCGGAAGCTCCGGGAGCTCGTATAAGATGTTCTTTTGCATCCACCGTATAGTCCGCATCTCGCACCAAGTGATTACCACTAATTTCTGACCATGGCGAACGAGCTTGGTAATCGGAAGTTGGCCACAAGAGAGTCTTGTAAAAATTGGCTCTCCGACTTTTTTGCCATTAGGGAGCGAGTTTCTATAAGAGGGGCATTATAAAGTTGGCATTTCGTTGAGAACTAGTCATCGAACAAAACGGCGCATATTTGACTTGAATCGCATTATTATAACCAATTTTATAAACAATTAAAAATTTAATAAAAATACCGCAAGACTTTTTTGACAACCTAAGATTTTAAACGCGGATATCCATTTTGTGTCAAAATTTTGCCACTCCCACTCCCCAAGCAGCTCCTATAAATCAAAAATTTGCCAAATCGGATCATTTTTAGAGGAGCTGTAGACTTTTTTGTTGTTGTATTGGCCAAGCACAAAAGTATGGAACAAAATTTGGTTGCGAAGAATCCTTACCGTAAAAGTTGGTAAAGTTAAAGATGAGTACCAGGTATAGGTTAGGTTAGGTTGAGGCGGCGATGCGGTGCCAGTCATTGCCACCGGCATCCACTCGAGCCGCTGGGACTCCTTGTGATACCGCACAGGCAAGTGGTCCTACAAGGGGACCTCCCCTTTCCTATCTACTAAGGTGCCCAATATTATGTTATCTTTCCTGCGGCCGCTCGCGTTCCCATCCAGATTTACGAATGAAGGCTACGAGTCTGCGTGGAGCGATCTCCGCGAGGTCTGTTAGGTCCGTGAGTGCTGCTGCACCCAAGAATTTGAATCGGCTGCGCCCCAGCGCAGGGCAATGGCGACCGTCTCTTCCTCCCCTAAACCACCACAGCTCCTGCGGTAACCATAGTGTGGCACCGCTAATTTAGCCGCGTGTGCTCCTATTAACCAATGTCCCGTGATGGCCTTGACTGCCAGACAGCCGTCCTGCCTATTGAGGGCGATAAGCATCATTGATCTTTTCCTAGAGCGGACAGGCCATATCATGCGTGAGTTCCTGCAGTTTTGGAGATTTCTCCATTTCCTCAGTGCTGCGCGGTCAAAGTGATCCCTGCATTTTAGCCCACACGTAGCTAGGAGAATGCCTACTGGTTCCTTCTCCGGGAGGAGAGGATTGATAGTACCTGCCCTGCTCGTTTGTCAGCGGCGCAATTTCCCTCGTGGTCCCTATGTCCGGGCACCCATATGAGTTGGATGTCATATTGTTCTGTCATCTCGTTAAGAGATCTGCGACAGTCATTCACTGTCCTGGATTTGGATGAAAATCCGTCAAGGGCTTTGAGTGCCGCTTGACTGTCTGAGAAGATATCGATTGTGTCTTGATTGCCAGTAAGTGCTGGGGATCTAAGTCCTTCCCCGATACCTATTACTTCTGCTTGAAACACACTACAGTGGTCGGGGAGTCTGAA